ATGCTTTATAGACTAATAGGCCCTATTTCCTTCACTTCCGCAACGTGGGCTTCAAAGATCGTCATGTTCGGGGACGCTATCGTCATCCCACACGTTCATGGATCTAACTCCTTCGACTTCCTTTTTGATAGCTTCTACGGCCTTTGGGCCACCTTGAACTTGTTTCTTTGTCAACACCCTGTGAACTTATCCTAGCGCATGTTGAAGGCAAACACCCAATTTCAACTGATGCGCAATCCTGTCCCATTTCCCATTTCCCTGTTCACCAGGTTCTTCAACCGCGGTCAGCACGCGGGGAATGTTTTCCGCGAACTTCTGCAGAAACAGTGAGGACAGGACTGAGAAGGCCACGCTGCGATTGTAAAACCCGCTTAGGTATGACAAGCGCCCTCTACCAACCGAACACGCTTGAACCCTTTGGGCGTTTGCACCCTTTGCTGCTCATCTCAACCGCCAGCCGTTCATCCGTGGCCATAACACGCCGTGGCTTCAGCGGCTTCAAACCCTGAATGGTGAGATCAAATCCAACCGCAGGGATAAGTGGAGAACATGTTACAACGAGCGCTCATCTCTTCTCTTGCACTTCCTCTACTTCAGTCCATCCAGAGCACCTTCGGGGCCATTCAAGCGCGCTGGAACAGCCGCTTTGCAACTTCCGTTGGTGAAGAAAAGTTGTTCACCAAACCTCACGATTCATGCCTCCTTTCCTCGAGATCTTCTTGGAAGGTTTCTCCTACAACATGTTGGTTGAGATGCTGCAATGAACACCAAGGAGCGCGCGGCAATGAGCCCCAAACATGGATGACCTCACCAAGATCTCGCCTGTCCTTCGCCCACGTCATGACTTGAATGTCATGTGGATTCGTCATGTATGGGATACCAAATTTTCCGCTAGTTTCTTGGCTGCGCTTCCTACCACCAACCGTCAGGTCCCATTGAATTGGCAGACGTTTCTTAACCATGCGGCAGTCTGGCTGAAAAAGAGGTTCCTCTGTCACCCCCCCAACCTCTAAAGCTTCGATGAAGATGGATGCAACAGCGCTTGGTGACCGCACGATGCACAGGTTCTAAAGCATCCTCATGTATGCAACACGTCGCCGCCCCTGTCGCGAAGCGTAAGGGATAGCTGGAAGTCTCAAACCCCTTAATCCTTCTTCATCGGCTGTGATGCGATGTTCTGCCATTGGGTTCGCTCAACAGTGAAGCTCTCATTGACTCAACAACTTCTTTCAATTGGACCTCCATCAGCCGCTTTCATTTCTTCGGGTTGCCACTTGTTGTTGGGAAGCCAACCCCACCCCCAATACATGAGATCGGCCACGGCGTGCGCAGCTTGACCTTGCGTTTCCTGCCTGAGTCCTTGCCTCCATGACTGCTTGCGCAGCCTGGCCCTGAACCTCAAGTTTCTCTGAGCTGCCTGCGCCACGACGCTCGGATCGTGGCCTCGTAGATGAACTGCTGATTGTGGACTGAATGCTGAGGGTTTCCACTAAGTTCCCCAAAAGCCTCGATTCCCGGATTATTTCCAGAACTCGTTGCAAGGGGAAGTGGGTCTAAGCCTCCGGACTCATTCTCATCCCCCTCATGCCGCACTCAACCATGAGAGGTGGTTTTTGCGGTTTCCTCATCATCAGTTCTGACCAATTCATTTTCCCCCGGGCAGGTCTGCTATGCGCCAATGACGTTGTGACTTTTGGAGGTATCTTTGATTTCCTCGATCCGGACGACAAGGACCTCCTACTCCTACCCAACGACGACTCGCTTGGTACTACCGGTAAACCTACAGATGAACCTTGAGAAAACTCTAGGTTTGAGGACTTGGATGACTCCATTCAGTCCAAATAGCCAAACTTCAATCATAACGATTTCACCCAAGATGGGATGCGCATACACTCGGCAGAGCCAAACGCTCAGATCTCTCCAGAACCTTGTCGATGGTGCGGCAGCTGTGGTACAACGGGGAAACCAGATAGGGGTTACAGCGTTCCGGTAACAAAGCTCCAGGATTCTGAGTTTGTCGTCCCAGTGCAGTGAGACCGCTTCTTTCACTAGTTCGCTCTTTCGGGGAACAGATGCGATCAGCAATCTCACTAGAAAAGAATTGTGAACACGGGATGGCCAGCCGCCGGTTGAGCCTGAGGGACTTTCGCCTCTCCTGGGACTTGAATCCATGTTCACCAATGTACGAAAGGATGCTGATGTCATTCTTGTCAGATCGCTGTGAAAAGCGAATGGTTGCAGATGCTGCTTCAGGCTGGATTTTCTCGTACGACTGTTCGTCCGCGTAAGACGTTGTGAAAATCCAACGCAGCCCACACTACAAGATTGCGGCTCTGAACTGACGCAACTGCAGAAAATCCAGTTGGCCGGAGTGCCACAGAAGAGGCTGAATGACGAAAATGAAGATCCCCCTTCACCTGTCTGACCGCGCACGACGCAGGCTCAGTCCGAGGTTCCGCGTCTACCACCTCAGCCGGTGTTGAATCCTTGTCAGGAACCTGATCCTCCGATGCCGCTACAAACGCTGAAGGTTGGGTGGACTTCTGAGGGCTCTGAGGTCCAAAGATTGGCCTTGCAAGAGTCTTGCAGGGAAATCCTACCCTGCTTCTGTGGCCCACCTGAGCTCGGAGGTTCCTGCCACCTCGTTCGCCCTTGGGCGTTTGCTCGGAGGTCCCACTATTGCACCTACCACAGGTAAGAACAAATACTACACTCGATCAGAGCGCAAGGCTCTTAACCAATTAAATCAAAGATCGCACTGTTCTGGGTGAGCTTGAGCCAAATCCCATAGTGGTCTTGAGTGTCTTTACCCAAAACACTTCAAGTCATCACTATTAGGTTGGAGGCCATCGCTATTAGGTCGGAGGCCATCGCTATTCGGTTGGAGGCCATCGCTATTAAGGTGTGGGTTCAAGGTCCAAGGAAAGAATCAAAAAGTTTCCTGCAGGTAGTGACTTACAAGGCCGAAAAAGGACAACTAGTAGCATTCTTGCAGGAAATGCCGAAGTCCAAATGCCCTCCCGTTATAAAATTATATATCTGAACCTGACAATATACGACAACACCGTACCCCCATCACAACACAATTCCCCTCGAATTCTTTGAATGTCCTTCGATTCCTCTGGACTTGGACTCCAAAATCTCTGTCTGAAGATCTCCCGAGAAAGAGAGCGAGAGAGAGGAAAAAAAAAAGTGAATTTATAAATAAACACAAAAAGTAAAGAAAAGTCCTTTGCTCCAAGATCGGTTCAAAGCAATCAATATGAGTCCCAAGGTACAATAGCTGCGCTGCTTCCTGCGTGATTTCCTCGTCAAAGCGCTCGGCCAGGTCGACAAACTGCAAAGGACCTTGGGCACGCAGAACTCTTGTTCGACAAGCTTTCTAGATATGCGGCTTACACATGCACTTCTGAATGCAGCCTTAATTTGTCCTGGCGCGCTGTTGCAACACAGCATGTCACGCCACAGGTGCAATCTGATACTCTGGACGAGGCAACGAAGCATGCAAAGTGGTGGGCACAGCCCAGAAAGAAGAAAAGATGCTGAGAGATGTCTATGTTGCAATCCGCCACAATGTACACTCAGACCCCAAGACATGCAACACACAAAGCGCGGCGTGCATTGTGTTTCACCTCACACGCTGGTGATGACGGTACATATTTCAAGATAGGGTGAGGATCGCATTATGCAAAGCGCACTATTGCATGAAGCAAGTCTGTGCCAAGCTTCCAAGATAGCCTTTCTTCTCGCCGTCCAACCTAAGTTTTAAGCCAAGAGGTAGACTGTTCGCACTCCATTCTTGTTATTGTTGCTTATTTAAGATGTTTGGATGCTTTTGTTCCTGTTCTTGCACTTGTTCTTTGTGGTGCTGGTGCTGGTGCTGCTCCTTCCTGCTGTTGCTGCTGCTGCGGTGGTGGTGGTGTCATAGGTGGAGCTTGTGACGGTTGTTGTACTTGTTCATGTCATTGCGTGCTTTTGTACGTCTTCTTTGTGCGTTGTTTGCAAGTCCAAGAAATGAACATACAAAAGGAAGAACAAAGGGAACGCAGGAACACCAAAACAATCCAAAACAACTCAAACAACCACCACAATGACAATTTCGTGCCTGTGGAACTGGACTTTCAAAAGCTCTTCCCTGGCTTTCATCACATCATCAACATCAACGCCTCAGAAGGGGCTGCACGTCTCGATGAACTTGCATGAGATTGACCCATGGCCCCTGACCTTCATAGTCGTCTTCGATCTTGGTCCAGTACCCACTCCTTGCAACAAGGGCACGAGAAACTAGTACGAACCGACTCCATATGACCTACATGCAAATAATGCCCTTTTAAAGAAGAAATTAAGAAGAATGGCCGGTCCAAAAACAAAAGCGATTGGACATTTACAAATAGAAAGAGAAAAAAGCTCCTCTCTCTCTCTCTCTCCCTCTCTCTCGGGGATGACTCGTCCTAAAAGCTATTGACCAATGTCTTTCACCCAGACAAGGGGCGCCCGCGTGTTTGCACTGGTCATCCGACGCTTTTCGGCTTCTATCGCCTGACTTTGCCGCAAAGTCCTCCATTTCACTTGAAGTCTTGAAGTCACACGAGATCAAGTAAACATGCATGCAACATCATGTAAATGCAAACAAAATTGGATGCACAATAAACTCTTGTTAACGCCTGTCAACTCAGCTCCTAAACCTAAACAGCAACAAAAGACCTATCCCATCGGACATCTGCACCGCTTTCCGCTGTCCCAATTTGCCCGATTTCACCCCATGGATCCCATCCTGGTGCTCCACGTCTCTTGCCTCAAGTGAAAGAAGAGTGGAGCCCCTAGTAATTAGCGTCCTCTTGTTCCCAGTAGCGATGCCAGGAGCCCCTGATAGCTTCTTGTGACAGAAAATTGAAAGAGTGATGCAATAACGCTAAGGAAATGTTGCAATAACGCGCTGGCATCTTGCAGGAAATATGGCAAATGTCTTCGCGATAAGCTGTTGCCCTAACTTCTCTTTTCACTGGCTATGACGTTGGCAGTCGTTTGACGGATTCTTTTGATGCATCCGTTCTGCCTTGCCTTGTCAAAGATCTCCATGTTGAGAGGTCGCATAAGGTACGTGCGCGAAAGGACAAGACTATGGCTACAAGGTTGGTCTGTTCATGTCTCTGTACCGGGGAAGGCCACCAAACCTTGTGAGTGGAGCACTTTCAACATCAGCATCTCCGGTGTCCTGTTGGATTCCATATAACTCGAAGGCTGCCACCCCAGCCTTTTCAAAGGCTTGGCGAATGCGCTCTGCAGGAAGAGAATCCGAAGAAGGTCCAAGGGTTCCATCTTTGGTCACCAAGAGTGATCCCGTATAGCTTTGACCAACTGACTTTGCAGCACCTGCATAGTGGAAAACAGCCCAAGTGAGCTTGTCATCGGCATCAACAATACGCCAAAACTCCTTCAGAGAAATTCCATTATCCTCGGTACTAAGGTTGAAGCTTCCAGGCTGCTTTCCGGGAAGAACGCGATAATGTCGCTTTCGCCACACTGCTCGACCGTCTAAGGTGATAACCCTAAAAACCGGGTCATACCAGCCTCGATTTCCTTTGGGATCTCTGTACCAGCTATTGTATTGACATGGGAAGTAGTCGTAAGCAGGATTTTGCCCTAGCACAGGTCTCCAAGAGCAGCTCTCAGGATTAAAGTCCCAATGGCCTTCCATGATGCTCCACGCCGTCTCCTGAGTCAAACGCTTTCCTTTGAAAGTCGCCATGGGCTCGAAAGGCACCTCAGGGATTTCAGCTTCACAATCAAAAATCCCACGCCTCTCAAAGCAGCGAACAAGTCGAGCCAACGCGTCAGACTCATGGCTTACAGTACATCGGTACATCTGAGTTTGATCTCGGACATCACAACCACTCTGACAAGCCAAGCAAGCTCGAGCTTCTCCATCTAAGCCTGCCTGCATGGCTTCGTTCAAACATCGAGTGCATAGGCGCCAAATCTTCTCCAAGGAGATAATTTGTGGCTCTTGTTCCACCAAGGGCACTGGTTTCACGGAAAAATGGATTGCAAAAAGCAAGGCATAGAAACAGTCCTCAGCCGTGTCTCTGGACCACAACTCACCACATCGAGACAAGACCTTCTCTGCATCTCCATCTCCTCCACTACGTGCCCACAGCTTCGACCGGCCAAGTGTCGAAGACAACACCAGCGTCGAACTCAAACCACCTTGCGACCAGTTCCTGGTGGTGCTTGTCACGTTGATGAGTGCCACCAGCTTGATCTGGTGACGACCTTGTTCCGCTGCATGTTCTGCTTCTTGTTCGGTGCTCACCTGGACATTGAGACCTGGGACTGCTTGTCGTAGTTTCCCAGCCAAATGCTGTATGGCCAAAGGCCACGGCACTGATCCTTTCAAGCCAAGTGCCTTTGCCATAGTTTCCGTGCCTCCCTCCCCCCAGGGACATGCACCTTCTCCAACCACCAGCAGCACATCCACAGGACGTGCTGAAGCCTTCAGCTCCCACACTCTTCTCCTTTGGCGGAGCCTCTTTGGGTACCAGATAGGGGCTGTGAAAATGGCCAGAGTGGCGCAGGTGACGCGGCCTATTTTGCCAGGCCTGCCAGGGCTTCCAAGTCTTCCGCCCTGCCAGCTCTTGGGCCCTGCTCTTGGGGAGGCTCTGTGCTCTGCAAGCACAGGACAGGCAGTTTTCAAGTCCATGATTCCGCACGGCGGGGAACAGGAGTGTGAAATTGAAATGGACATATTGCATGGTGTTGCATGTTCTGATGCGCTTGGGCTTCGCATGGTAAAGTGGTCTGGTGTTGGGAACAGTTGAGATCCTGCATGAATGTAATGTGGCCATCTGTTGAGCACAAGCTAGCGGAATCATCTGCAAGGTCCTGGTCAACACAAATTCCAGCCAAGGTCAGCACCCAGAGCGACCAACCTGGCACGTTTAACTCAAATGTTGTAGCAGCTAGGAGGGCTGCAGTTATTTCACGAAACGAACACATGGCAAATAGCTATGGCCAATTGTTGAGAGGATGTGAATTGAGCCCTGAAGGCACCTCAGAACTCCATCGGGGCTCGCCATTCAGAAGACTTGAGCGGATGGCGCGGCTGGTAGATGTGCTTGGAATTCGAACCTCCTGGAGAGAGGCAAGTTGCATGGGCACACGCAAAACAAGCGTTCAAGGCCAGCACACAGTGCCTTGTGGGGCTCATCCAGCCTCAAAACTGCGGAACGTGTCCGAAGCTCCGTCAGGGGAACCCACTACGTATATACATGCTCGCCAAAGCACTGGAGCACTGAAAGGCCTTCGGCTTGCATCACCAAATCTTGCAAGGCCTGGCTGGCAAGCTAGGTCCCAAACAAACAAGAGAAAGCTCGAAGCTCGAAACTAAGTATTGACATCCTGCGTGAGTTCCCACTCTTCCTTTTGCTCATGCTTTCCAGGTCCTGCCCTGCAACTCGCACTCATGTTCGGCAATGAAGACTTGCTCTCGGGCCTGACTGTTGTGCCCTAAGCCTTCTATCTGCTGCTGTAGGCGTTCCACTTCTTTGGTGAGCTCGAACATCCAGCCTCAAAATCCGTGACTATAGTGTTGAAGTCAAAATCCGTGACGTCATGTTTGCATCAGCATGATGAACGCGCTGCACCGACAGTTTTCCACTAGGAGATCAAGCTCCCGCTCCCAATCTACTGGTTCATTTTCCTATGGGCGTTCAGCCCCGTGAATCAATGCAGGTGTCTAATTGTGGTAGAGCGAAGGAAGGCAGTTGAATTTGAGAATTGGATCGAAAGTTGTCGCGAGCAAAGTCCGCAAGCCGAGAAGCTGCTACCGCCAGCATTGCCAGTGATGGGTCGAGGCATGGCGTCAGAATTGTCACAGAGAATGTCCAAAACAAAAAGCTCTATATAGACATTCGAATTCGACTTGGGCGTGTGAAAGCATTCAATGAATATTGTTCGGCCGTCAACTGAGCCAGGTGTTGCAAAACACAGATGCACCTACTCAACTCATGTGCACATAGTCTCGCAACTAGCCACTAGGTGGGCGAAGTTCTGCCTGCTCGTTGCTACGTAGCTGCTAGGTCCAAACCACAAAATCCACCAATCAAGTCTGGGTGTCCTCGCAAGTGTGGGAGGTCACACCAAGTGGAGGCATACAGTTCAAGGCTCCCCAAGGACGGCTCTGAGAGAAACAATTTGAGAAATGTGCTGACCCTTCAGGCCATTTTGAGCCCTTCATGCAAGAAAAATCGCCGCTCACGGCTTCGAAGCACATTGTTTGCATAAACGTCACCTGTCAGTTTTCTAATTGTTTAAAAAAGACCTCTCCACAGCCCCTCCCACCCCGGCAGCTCATCCCACCTTCAAGAGCCATAGCTAAAGCCTCGGCCTCACCATTTCTGAAGCTGAAACCAAGAAAAAGGATGCAAGGACTCAGTTTCACACGTATTTTAAAAGACACAATAACAGGAGGAGTGGCAACATGTCGCAACTTGGGTCAAACCTACCTCGGTGGTTTCCTCGCCGGGCATGTCAAGAACGATCGTCCGACCCCTTGCGTCCTTACCATCCCTTGGTGATACCAGTGCAGCAGGGGGATTGTACGGAACATGTTGCACTCTGAGAAAGTTGGATGAGAAGCCTGGATCCAAGCTGACGGAAAAACCAGAGTTCAGAGCGAAGAAAACAGCAGCGAAAGCAATCACACACATATCATGAGTGCAATGTGACAAATCTAGTATATAAAAAGTGTTTGCAATGTTGCACTCACGTATTGCGTCGGGGTAAGAAAAATCAAAAATCAAGTGCGGATTTAATTGATGCAATTTATATAAACATTTATAGAGTCCGGACAAAGATCAAAAATGTTGGCCAATCCTTCCTCTTGCACCCTCCAGAACTAGATTTCCAGGAATTTGTTCAAGCTTCCATAGTTGGTCAAGATTTGGAATGGGCACAGGTCGGTCATTGTGAAAGGTGAGGCTTCCCAAATTTAGTTAAGCAGCAACTTTGTGAGAGCAAGTGCCCGAGCTAATGTGGGGCGAGCAAGTATACGTGCATTGTCTTAGGCTAAAGCCCAGTTTTATCAAGCTTCTTCCCCCTTGTTGTTCGTATTCGGTATATTTGGGTATCAGTTCTTGCCGCATAATGGTGCAAAGGGCTTCCGCTTGGATTCGGATACACGGGTGATCTGGTGGGAAACTCGACTCTTCCCTTGCCATGTGGGGGTCGTGTTGGCAGGACGTCTTGCATACCTCGGTGGTTCCCTGTTTCCTACGACTCCCTACCTGATGAATCCACGCGTACAAAGAAGGCGCGTAGGCATTGCTAAGACGCATGGACTGCGAGAACTTGCAAACACCATAAGCAGCTTTAACTCCGGGGGAGTGGTCATTTCTGCTCTACTAGTTGCTCCACTCTTCCTGAACACAAAGTGGCGCAAGCTATGCTATGTTTCACATGTCTACTATTGAAAGATTTTCTTGCTCAGCGGTCAAGCACTGCCACAATGCCACAGCGACAACAATGGATTTCGTGATGCTTGGACAAGGGAAATGTCTGATTTGAAGAAGCAGCTGAATAGATAGACGTGGGAGCGAAGCCGACATCAACGTGGCAGTGTGCGCCAGCTCCCTAGTTTCTGTGGTCACTACACAGAACAACCTAATTCCCAATCCAGCCAGTAGGCACCCAAATGGTTGCGCAGCTGGGCGCCGGAACGATTTGCTGTGAATAGCGGCCGCCTCATGACCGGGTGACCATTGAGTGTACATACACTGTCCTCTCGTCACACTTGACCCAGACAGAACGGTGTACACATCAACGCTGTGAGCTACACATCAACGCTGTGAAGTCGACATCGCACCGTTGCACCTAGCTTTGTCAAGGACGTAGCTGCACGAAGTCTGACCTCTCCCGAAACCGAGGGTGTCAAATCGGAAGGTCAGGAAAACTCAGCTATGATGTAGCTGAAACAGACCTGAGTCTGCAAGATAATCCGAGTGGGGAAACTGGGGGGGCTTTCTTTGTTTCTTTGCAGGAGGACACTGGTGTACGGGCCTCCTTGTCTGAGTCCTGCATTGTGACAACAAAGAGACACTCAGCTTGCGCAACCTTGAGCAAGCGAGCACGCTGTTGGAGGCAAAGGTTTCCAAACAAACATCTTGTAGAACATTGTTCCGCTTCAAAGGCTTGCATGCCCGCAAGGAGACAAAGTCTGTCAGGAGAGTATGTCAGGATTCTGAGGGTCAATACCCGTGTGGATAGATAGGCTACATACACAGTACTTTGGTCACAGCCAAGGTCAGGACGCACACGTCGCCTCCTCAGCCGGTAAGGCAGGCAAGGCAGGTGGGAGGTGTGCACTCACCGCGCTGCCCCCACTCAGCGTGAGCGTGCGAGTTCACACACTGGTGGCACGTCAAACGAACTTGTGACAACAAAGTCACATGTGCCACAGAAGGATTGGGATTTGGAAGAAATACAGAAAGCACTTGCAGGGGGGCTTGGGTGAAACAACTCCACCCAGCATTGTGCCCACGCACCGCAAAGTTCCAAAAGCTACGGCTGTGATGTGTGAATTCTGGAGCGCGGACCAAACCTACTATAGCCTATAGCCGCTAGCCGCTAGCCCCACACCCCGCCAAGTTCCCAGTCCAGCTATATAACCAGGTAATTAACCTTCATTGAAGAGAATCTATCTTCCAAATCTGATCCAAGAAATTGCCGTGGGTGCAAAGCGCAAGTCTCTCAGTGCAAAGGTTGGGAGAAGAGAAAGCTCCGAACGATGAAGTTGGAATGTGGATGACCGCGTGTGGTCCAGTAGGGTCCCAATGTTTTTTGCACAACTTCTTCAAAGACTCAGGACCAAGCAAAGCAATCATCAGTCCGGGGAAGTCAAGAAGCGGCACAGCTTGCGGACCATTTTGGCTTAAAGCTGAGGCTCAACAGAATGAGACCTAATAGGGACCTGAGTAGGCCCTAAAGATCTTCATACATGGGCCATGAATGCTCTGGCAAGCAATCCTTGGACACATACTTCTGGAGCTCTTTGGCATTACATGGTGATCCAATTTGGTCATCCCCAGTCACCAGGATGAACTTGTTGAAGGTCACTGGGTCCAGGAGGCGCTGAATGATGCCCAGAATCACAATGGCGACCCGAGGCACGGGAAAAATGATCCTCGGTGCTAGACTCGAACCTGGATGCTATTAGGGGCTACTAGTAACAAGTAAGCTATTAGAAACAAGAATTAAATAGAATTAGTATTAAGCTTTATTTTAACTTTAACTACAAGTTAATTAGAATTTGAACAAAAAGCTCAATAAAAAGAAATACACAAAAAACAAACAATAGCAATAGCCTCGAACCTAATTGTATTGGCCTCCAACCTGTTAGCGATGGCCACGGGCCTCCAACCTAATAGCAATGACCTCCAACCTAATTGTGATGGATGGCAGCGTTGCCTCCAACCTACTAGCCGTGGCCTCCAACCCACTAGCGACTCAATTGACCCTGAGAATTGGAGCACTGCGCGGTACCTATTTTGTATTTTACAAACAGCGACCTGCTAGGCGTCTCAGTTTCAGTCGAGACAGGCGCTCTGGATAATGAGCGGATATGATCCGTGCACAGGACTGGAGAAAAGGCAACAGTTTCATGGCCTCAGAGCTCTCAAGCACTTCTGAGGCTTGGTCAGCTACACCTGCGGTAACCGTTATAACCCTTATTTGTTTTTGTTCTCAGTGCTTCTCTCTCCCTCTCTCTCACTGAAGCTCAGCCGTCCCACAGGAACACTCCGACGGTGAAAAGCAGAAGGGCCCAAGGGCAAAATTGCAAAATCTGATTATATAAATGTGTAAGTTGTGTTCTATGTTGGTGTGCGAAGCCTAGTGACTTAGTGTGCCTTCTTGAAATCTGTCCACTCTGCATCTGTGATGCTCTTAGGCAGGCGCTGGTGGGTTGGGCCATCCTTCACCCCGGCGAACGTCGATGAGCACCGTGACTCGATCCCTTAGCGATCGAAAGGTCTTGTCCGGCTGCATTTGAGTCACCCTCGTCGGGTTCGATGCGCTTGCATTCTGTCGCTTTCTTTTGGCTTCTGTTGGTTTGACATTAAGAAAGAGAGGTCAAAGAAGAAAAGGAAAGAACTTATCGTTCGAACATGGTTGAACTCTCACACGGGACGCAAACACATACAAACCCAAGAGGTCAAATCGGTCACAACGATGCACTTCCAAAAACCAAGCAAAGGCTCTCTTCCGTGGCAAAAATGTCATCCAGGATGTGGCAAATTGCAAGGGTATACTCCTGAAGGCAATTGTTGATTGTTTGAACAGTTTTCCGTGGTTTCTAAGTAATCAAGTAAAAATAGCTCGTTTCAAACCCGAGATCCTCAGGCTCTGCGGTCATGAGTTCATATCTTGCACCCTGGACCAACATCACCTCGGATGTGATGAGGAATCCGCAAAAAGTACAAACCCTGGCAAAATCAACACAAGATAACACAAGTTCATAGTCAATGGTGATGGTACAAGTCTGGGTGGTTTGGGGCTTTCCTGAGGCATCCACCTTGGTGCCATCGACAGCTTCCACCTTCCCAGCGGCAACAAACCTGGAGTGCTGATCGGAGTGCTGTGAGATCGCCCACATTTGGCTCTTCTCAAACAGGAAGCCGTTCACCCCGACACAAAGTGCACGGAACACTTCAACCAACTTCCCAAAGCTAAGCTCTAAAGATTCTAAAGACTCTAAAAGACTCTAAAACACCATGAAGGGCCATGTCTGCTGGGATTTGGGGTGGATCATGTTGATCGATGTGTCCCAAACACGATCAATGTTTTGCGTTTACAATTGCAAATGGCCACTAAGAGCTGCTACGATGCAACAGCGCAATTCACTCAACAGGATCATCCGAGTCACCCAAAGGGAATCTTTGAATATATGCGCTTCAGTAATTCTGGGTCACCCTGTGCTTTCCGCCAGCGTTTGTGCTCTGCATACATGGCCTCAGCCGCAGCTGGTGGAAGCGGCTAGGAGACCAATAAGAAGTGAGAAGGAAATACCAATGTTCGAGAGTTGCCTTGCTTTGTGAGCTGTACTTGAAGGAAGGTAACCTTCAATCGACTACGTCATGGACATCTGTCCATGGGGGCACACCCAGGTCTACGCAAAAAACAGTCGCTGTCAAAACAGCGCTTCAAAACTCAATTTCTTTTGAGACAATTTCCAGAAGATGCCAAAACTTGGAAACAGTGCCCAGCAGATCCAAGGAGGGTCAGCCCAATAACCAAATCAACAAATCCAAGTTCTGTGCAGAGAAGAACGAAGACATGTGTATCTGAAAAAGTGGGAAAGTAAAAGGATTTGATTAGTCTGAAAGGCTTGAAGTTAAACCCTCAATCAAATTGGTGTGTATGATGAAAACCACGCAAGACATGTCAGCGGTCTGAACTTGGCAGGGGTTCTGTTTGTCTAGGACCTGGGAGAGAGAAAGGAAAGTGCTAAAGCAAACCCTTTCGGAGGCTCGGCTACTTTGAGCACTGATGGATTCCACCCAGCACTTACAGGGATCGAAGAATCTAATAGCGATGGTCTCCAACCTGCCAACCTAAGAGCAGTGGCCTCCAACCTAAAAGCAATGGCCTCCACCCTAGTAGCAATGTCCTCCTAATAGCGATGGCCTCC